TTCACGAGTACGTTGTCGGTAACACTTGTTCTTATTTCATGTACAGCTTGTCGATTCGCAACCGTCACTCAAAGTATCCGGCATGTTAATCACTAGTTTTGTTGATTGTAGTTTTTCTTGGGATGGGATATCACTTGGCCGGCTTCCTGTCACGTAGTGACATGCAAGAACAATAGTGCCGGTCGCGCACTTTTTGTGATGGACGCAAATTCTGAGTGCTGGTCGCATGCGACCAGCGCCGACAGATCCCTGTGATCAGCACAGACTGTGAAAATTGGGAAGAGTTTGATTCAACGCTACAGCATGGGTTACTTAGTGTTTGATTTATATAGGCCTTTGTATGAATTGGTAAGCTGTGTTGCTGGTTTTGTCATATTCGTGGGCATACATGTAATAATAACATTACAAACCTGCTGAGTAATAATGTACAATTAAACCCATTTCCATGTCTTGCAGCAATTGCGAAAACTTCTTCTGGAAATCATCCATCGGATTCCAACAAATGAACATCTACGACCGTACATCAAAGATGTCCTACAGCTCATGTTTAGATTGTTGGAGAGAGAGAACGAAGATAATGTATTGGTCTGTTTAAGAATCATTATAGAACTTCACAAGCAGTTCAGGCCACAGATATCACCAGAGGTATGTCATTATAATATGTGGTTATTACGAGAATACTTCAAAGTATGCACGAAGACAGTACAGCTGGAGTATCGACCGACGTGCAGTGGAGGTCGATGCATGGCATACTGTCTGTCGTAATAACCTTATTATTATTACACACGATCTGTCATCGTAACGTCATAAGTTACAGCGTGCCGTAATTATGCTGCGCATTGGTCGATCCTGTCGCTGTACTGTCTTCGTGCATACTTTGAGGTATCTTCGTAATAACCTTATATTATACATCTTTTCCTTCCAAGGATACATCATGGGAATGCAGAAATCCAAATCAGCGAACTTCTTTTTGTGGAGTTCGGTCAAACCCTGATGGCAGCCATGTTTGTTTTTATTATCAGAGAACGCTTACGCGCGTAATCATTTGATATTTGGAACTCGCATGAAAATACCCTGTAAAATACCGCAAAACTACGGCGCGCTGTAACTTACGGCGTTACGATGACAGATGTACAATGTATAATAATACTATAGATGAGTATGGTACAAAGTCGACCAAATCCTGCTAATAGTAAAACTGACTTTCCAGAAACCATGATTTACAGGAAAATATGTTTTTAAAACAAGAAATGTTTTTCAGTATCAAGACTCTTTCTGTCTCAATGTTGTATGTTTTTGTTACCGAGCTATATTCTAAGGTTACTGCTCTTGTTTCAGATTCAACATTTTCTACAATTTGTGAAGAATATTTACAAAGATTTGGCTCACAATATGGTAGGTGAATCCTTGGTTTTCTGTTCATGTGTGGATTTCTGCTAAACTGCTTGCTGACCATCTCAAACCATCACTATACCTATTGTACTCTCGGGTGTATTCAACTGACATTTTAATTTATAAATGTTTATAAAGATAAAGGGAACACCTTTGCTGTGCTATAAGTAATGCATCTTTTTAGTAATTAATCTTTGTCTTTTTCTTTTGTGATTCACCTCGTATATATTTCTTATTTTTGTCCACCTTCCACAGAAAAGCTTTGAGGTACAGACTAGTACCACAACGCTTGATCCCAGTAATGCAGCGTCTCCAGGTTTCGCCAGTCCTACCACGTACACTACCACTACGCCAGATGGCCAAAAGAAACAGGTACATTGCCCATTGTTTTGTCTCATTTTTAGAACATATCGTAAATGTCATTGTTATTTCTCTTAAAAATGAAAATTTCATTTGTTTTTTTGAATAACTGTCTTCTCCATTATTTCAGCAAACTATTATTCCGAAAGGAGTGAATTCTTTGAAGGTTTTAGCCGAACTGCCAATCATTGTTGTGTTAATGTACCAGCTGTACAAACAGAATGTCCACAATGTAGTGGCTGAGTTTATTCCACTGATTATGAACACAATAGGACTTCAACCATCGCAACAAGCAAGGTTTGTTTTTAATTGTCTTGTATCCATCTCAAATCATTTGTACTTCCTTATGTTCGAAACGATAACTGTAAAGGGGTTAATTATTCACTGGGTTCTAATTTTGTTTATTTCGCTGACTGGAAAATGCGCTAAATTAAAACCCAGTGAATATGTAAAATTTAGCATAGAATACATTCTCTAAATGATAAAACCGTGAATTTAAAACTCACTGAATATGCCTGAAATGGTGAATCAGCGAAATTTAAACCCAGTGAAAATTACAGGTAGTCATTTTACAGTACTTGAATTTAACAGTAGCTCAATAAAAATGGGATAGACTACCAAATATTACCATGCGATCACCAGCTTTCCAATTGTGAAAAAAAATTGTATAATTTTGAGTGTGAGTTGCATAAATTATCATGTTGTTTACTCGTATCTTTTGACGCACCACCCTCCATTAAATGTTGTTCACTTTCTCTTCATCTTACAGGTCATCAACCAATTTCAACAAGGAGATGTACGTTGATTTCATAGCTGCCCAGATAAAAACTTTGTCGTTCCTTGCTTACATAATCAGAATATATCAGGTACAAAAAAGAAGTGTACTGTTTCATAGTATGACGTAGTTTGTAGAAGTCTGCCGTGGTGTTCAAGATTTGGGGGATGTGATTATGACTGAGTTGCAAGGACCACCGTTAGTTTTCACAAAAGTCGCCAAATTTTCAGTGACAGAATTTCACAATTTAAAATTCCTAAAATCATTGATTAATAAAGCTTCATTGGCGTCTTTGGACTACTTACTAGTATTGCAGAAAGATTTACAATTGTTACGGAATTACTCTGAGTCAAATATTTGTAGACCTATTTGTTTTAGAACACTGTACAAAAGCATTATGAAATTTAAACAAACAATAAAAAAGTACAACTTGATAATTTTCATTTATTGTAACTTATTTCTTTTAGCACGTAATGATTTCAATTGTTCTGACTTTCTCTCTTCAATCATAGGAATTGGTGAACTCCTATTCTCAGCAGATGGTGAAAGGCATGCTGGGATTGTTTACATACTGTCCACAGGAAGTGGCTCATCTTAGAAAAGAACTACTCATAGCAGCACGACATATACTGGCCACGGAACTTAGAAATAGTAAGACGGTCGATTTGTTCTCCTCTACTCATTATATCATAAATTTTATTAACAGTACAGTTAGCATATTCAGTAATCTCCATTGTCATGAAATTACTAGCTTAGCATTTTCACCACCAGAATCTCGCTCAATTTTTCTGCACTTTTTTCTTATATTCTTCAATATTTCTGGAAATAAACTCTGATTTTGGAACAGACAAAATTTGAGTCAATTTTCAGTTTTTACTCAAAAAATCTTCTGAAGAAAAGTGCAAAAAGGTTAAGACCCCAGGGACCATTTAGAAAACTCTGTACATTTCAATGCAAATATTCAACAATATTATTTCATAATTTCAGGGTTTGTTCCACATATTGATAAATTATTTGATGAGAATATCTTAATTGGTAATGGATGGACGTGTAAAGAGTCTCTGAGGTAAGTCTTCTGTATGAACACTTTCCACTTTTAATTTGAATCTTCCAGTAGCAGCTTTATCACCATCTACAAATTGCATAACTTTTTCTTGTATTGACAAAGTTTTGGTTAGGAAAAATTCAGCATTCAATGGTTTAAGCCCCAAATGTTCAAATCTGGTGCAAAATATTTATCTCTTGTGGTACTTTGTTATCCTCATTGAACATTCCTTCTCATGAGTGAGTTCCCACTCACCAACAATATAAACACTATACTGTCCATAGTTGTATTTGTAATTTTAACAAATTTAGTTTAGTTTATTCGGTATGAAATGTTGACAAGAAAGAAAATACAAAACGAAAGAAACATAAAATTAAGCCCCACAACAATGACCACACTTAGGATAGCTCACAAAGTCGCAAAAGCAACTTAATTCCAATCATTATAAAGTTAAAAACTTTTTTAAAAAAAATAAAAATTCAGTAGATCTAAATATGCTTGCATTCATGTAACCAATTTACCTGTTATTTTCCAGACCCCTTGCTTACAGTACATTAGCTGATTTGGTTCACCATGTTCGACAGCAGCTTCCTCTCAATGACCTGTCCTTAGCTGTGCATCTATTCTCTAAAAATGTCCATGATGAATCGTTGCCGTGTAGTATCCAAACCATGTCTTGTAAGCTGCTACTGAATCTCGTGGAATGTATTCGACAGAAGAGCGATCAAGACAAAGGAAATGTAAGTCCACCTCATATCAAATAAATATTGCACCCTGTGTGTTGTTTTCTTGTAATGGGTTTGGTGGAGGGGCATGAAAATAACATTGACTAGTATCACATGACCATTGTGGTAACACATGACTATTGTGCAGATTATGTACAGTTGTTTTTTTTAGTGTAAAATATCACTGGTTGATAATGGTATGGTATATGTCACATCAAAATATTCATGTTAAATGATATTTTGTTTGTTCAAGCAGTACATAGAGGGACATTTTTTTTGTTTTTATAGATTACCACCTCTTCACACCAATGAGCCACTAAAATAATAAACTATCATATCATTGAACACTATATCTACCTACCGTTGATAATAGATTGTCAGATTGTCAATTGGAACAAAAAGTTGACTCTACGACGTCTGTTTTTCCATCCTCTGTATTGCATAGACAAAACTTCACTTGTATAATCTAATTCATTGCGAAATACAATTCATAACACCTTCATAATAATCATGCAAATAATGTCCATTCAGCTAGCATGATAATCAAGTCTTACCATTAATGTGATATGTTGAGTCTACACATACATGTAGTAAGGAGATAATTCTTAAATTATTCATTGCAAGTAACCTGCTAATAATCTCAACCGAAATAGTACAAAGGCCGCTACATCTTCTTGAATACTCATTCAAACAAGTTAAAATTCATGCATACTGTAACTAACTGTTATTTTAATTTCATGCATCTTGAAACCAATTAATATGCTAACTAACCTAAGCCCCGTACCGTCACATGGTACAAACATTTGAATTTATCCAGCAGGGTCGGGAGATATTGATGCGAATGCTGGAAGTGTTTGTCTTGAAATTTCGTGCAATTGCGAAGAGACAGCTACCAATGATATTCCTGAAATGGTAAGTTTTATTTCACTGTTTGACTTGAAATGTTTATTGTTGTCATTGTTAACTTGCTTTGTAACTTTGTCAGTTCTGTGGTTTTTTTTATTTTTGGTTTTTTTCGTCAACACTGTTAACATGCTGTTTGACATTGGTTTTTTTCGTCATCATTGTTAGCATGCTTGACTACTTTGTACCTTAACGTTTGTGATGTTTATGATCATTATTATTGTTAATGTGTTTGATTTCATTAAGAATAGTAAATCTATTATGAAATACCAGTAATATGAAATAGGGGGCACACAATTAAAATTATTATTAAATGCACTTTACTGTATACTTGTCTTGCATATGTATAGTCAGTCAGTTTTGTTATGTGTACTGTTCTAACAAATTATTTTACTTTCAGTCGGCAGCATCAAGACACTCAGACAGACAAGTTAGCAGCAATTACTGCAGCAGCTACTTCCAACGTAATTCCTAGTTCTGTGCCGCAGACACCCGCTGCTTTGCCTCCAACACCCATACCAATAGTACCTCCAACACCTTCTACACCCTTAGCAACGGCTCCACCATCAGCATTCCCACCAACCCCTGCTCCCCAAACACCTGCATCGATAGACAAAGAAAAGGATGACGGAAAGGGTAAAAGTTATTTGCCCCCTAGTTCAACGCAGTACAACAACTATTCTGTGTCTGATTGCCGTAGTTTAGTCAAGACGTTGGTGTGCGGGGTGAAAACCATAACCTGGGGAGTTGGATCATGCAAAGCCCCTGGAGGTAAACTATCTCATTCCAGACCTTTGCATCTTAATACAGTATATTATCTAATTGTTGAATGGATTGAAATCATATTACTAAATATGTGTGTGTGTGATTAAGTTTATTATGCTAATTTCATTAATTATTCATAATTATTCATGACTGCACCATAATCTGTTAGAATAAAAGAATTTACATCAGCATTGCTAATGATATTGTTCATGTTGTGTATCTAATCATATTCATGGTTGTCTGATTTTCTCAGATGCAACATATGTCCAGAACAAGCAGTTCCAGCCAAAAGAAACAGCTGTCTTTGTGAAGCTTGTCAAATATGGTAAGTTGACTGTCTGTCTGTCTGTTCGGCCATTTATTGCTTAGAAATATATTTCTTAAGCTGTAGTTATTAGGAGGAAGATAAGAATTTGTAAGGAAACTAGCAATGTTAGTATTCTTATGTAAGTACAATAAAATTGATATTTACATAAGTACATAAAATATGATATTTGCTCTATTAGAATTGCATCTCTAATGGAAACGCACATAAACTAATAATTACCTATGTATACAGGATCATTGAAATGTTTATTTTGACCATAGATGCAATTCTTGTCACTTAAAGTATATAAACAGAGATGTGAATACCCTGTGATAACATCATTTTTTGTGAAATACAATGACCTTACATCATGCCATTCTTCATTTGTCCACAGCCATGCAAGCTCTGGACATCTACCAGGTCACTGTCACACAGACTGGCACTAGTTTCATCAGACCAGCAAACTGTCAGACTGTTCGACTCAAAGAAGAGAAAGAAGTTCTGGAACACTTTGCTGGAGTGGTAAGTTAAACGATAAAAATGGATATGGTACTTGCAGAATTGATTTACAGATTTTTCTGTTTGAATTTCAAATTTTGTCATAATTGCTAAAAGAATTATGACCAGTTCTGTGTATTTATGCTGTGGTAGCTTAAAACATGTTTTATATGTGTCTGTATTTAATTCATCGAACACCATTTTATTGTCCCCACCAAATTTATGTACAACATTTCCCATATGTTTTTTGTTAGCCATGTGGCTCTGATACTTTTCAGAAAGGTGCTTTTGTGATGAAAACTCTATTTTTAATGAATATTTTTTTGTTATTTCTTCTTCAAAATGACCAATCTGATTAATATTCCTTCGTATGTAATTTGGGTTAACTTCTATCAGATTTGGGCATTCAGGAACAATAACTTCAAATTTTGTGATGATGTTTTCGATCTAACTTTTTCTATACTGATACTGTTGATCAAGGCTATGCCTTGCAAATAACAAAGCTACACTAGCTAATAGGCTGCTTGTTACATGTACATTGTATCTATTTTTTTTTTTTAATTTTGAACCAGTTGGGTGTACTTTTCTACTGGTGTTCATCAACATTTTAAAAATAAATTGAATTAGGTGTTCATGATATGAGATCATCACCTGATCTGTGGTTTGATAGATAGTATGTCCACCCAGCATCAAGGAGATTGCTTCTGTGGTCAGAAATCATGGAACTCAATTTTGAGGAAAAGGAATGGACAATCTTGGGTAAATAAGATCAAATGAATGAATAAACAAATAAAAGAATGAATGAATGAATACAGCTGGTGCTATTATTAGTTTCTCATTTACATGTATGTATTATTTGATTTCAGTTCACTATGATGCATCCGTTGACGTTCAAGGAGATATTTTCTACTACCATAGAGTTTGTTGTGGAAAGAATCTACAACAACTATGCATTACAGATAGTGGCAAACTCCTTCCTTGCCAACCCAACTACATCAGCTACATTTGCCACGATATTAGTGGAATATCTTCTAGATCGATTGCAAGAAATGGGAAGTGAGTACTTACAATGTTTTTGTGTTTTTCACTACATAACGTGTTCTGTGCACACCAACATAGATGACTATTCACATGCATGGTATTAAAGTTGCATTATGTGAAACATCATTCCTGGGATAAGTAAAAAACGTAAAATGTGTAAAAATTATGATGTTTCAGAAAAAAATAAACGATAAAAGTATATATCCAGGCCTCACATTCCTGCTCATTTTATTCTGAGAGTACTGAAGGTTATTCATTAGATAAACACATCTACAATGTAACTGATTTTCAAATACTAACAGTCACTAAATTATTCAGTGTCTAATATTTACAATTCTAACTTAATTTAAAGTGTCTGTGAAGTGCCTGCTATTTTCTAACCCAAAATCATTTATTGATACATCAATATTATTATTTTTTATGTTAAAAAATAGGTTTTATGTTTAAAGTACAAAATAAATTTTTAAAGTTCAAAAATAGGGTTCAATCCACACCAATTTAACTTTTAGGTATTTTAAAACGAGGCTCCTCATTATACTCAAATACCCACTGGTGACTCATGCAGGGGAACTTGCAGGTCAGCGTGTATTGCCAATAATCACAGTCCCTTAGGTGTTGAGGGACTGTGGGATAATGCATACAAAGCACATTTCTTCGTCAATTTTCTCGTCTTTGATTGAATGATACTCATGCACTTGTTCCTTGCAATACAATAATTTGAAATGATCTATTTGTGGAACGTGTGGCTTTACCAGTTTTTTTTTATTATATTATTTTTGCAGCTAATATGGAGCGGTCTAACCTGTATTTAAAGCTTTTTAAGTTAGTGTTTAGTTCTGTTTCGCTGTTTGCAGCTGAAAATGAACAGATGTTGAAGGTAAATAACTAATTGTTATAATACTGAAATAAAATGAGCTTGAACCCTTCAATATGTAACCTTATCCACATCTAATATATTACAAGTACAATGTGAATGTATTAAGCTCAACTTCGTTTATCACACTTTCATATACTATATTTCTATTGGTGCCCATACACCAAAAATTGCAATTATTGTATGTTGGATCATTAGAATCTGATGTATTTTAACTGTAGTTTCACCTCTTAAGACGAAATTTATTTCTAGTCCTGAAATGTTCAAAAAAAATAGTGTGGTGATTTGCCTTTTATTTTCTTTTTTTTTTTTACATTTTTATGTGGCAAACTAAGTGTATTGGTATTTACTCCAACTATGTTGTCTCCGACTTTCTCTACAGCCACATCTCCACAAGATAGTGAACCGTTCAATGGAACTTGCCACTATTGCCAAAGAACCGTATAATTACTTCTTGCTATTGAGAGCTTTGTTTCGTTCTATCGGAGGAGGCAGTCATGATTTACTCTACCAGGAGTTTCTACCATTGCTACCAAACTTACTTCAAGGTAATAGACGATTAATGAGTTATTGTCTATTTTAAGGAAAGCTGAAATTTCAACCCTTGATTGATGAATATATTAAACTTATCTGCAGGTCTCTCGTTATGGATCTATGTGATTTTCTAATAAAAAATATGATCATTGTAATTTGAAAATTGTTGGCCATGTTAATACAGTATGGATCACTTCGCATTAAAGAATATAACGTTAAAACAATATTACCGAACTGCATTTGTCTCACCTCATGGTAGCTTTATTGAATTAACCCAATCATGTTGTAAACTATAATGGTGATAATTTTGCTGTCTATAGGATTGAATGTACTTCAGAGTGGCTTGCATAAACAGCATATGAAGGACCTGTTTGTTGAGTTGTGTTTAACCGTACCTGTGAGACTGAGTTCATTGCTGCCGTATCTCCCAAGGCTGATGGATCCATTGGTGTCTGCATTGAACGGATCACAAACGCTTGTCAGTCAGGTAAGTAAATATTGTCTTGTGTTCTAAGGGAGCTTTTTACATGTGTATAGACTCTTTAACTTGGTCCAAATTAATTTGATCATCAACTAGCATGCAAATTTCTGTTCCAACATCCTTACTGATTTGCATATGAATGATAAATAATTAGCATATGTATGTGTTTAATTTTAGTTCAATGAGCATAATTAGCATATCCATAACTTTTATTGTTTCCTTGCGATATGGTCATACTTGAATGTCATGTGCAAAACACTGTGTGGATGGATCAGCTGTAATGTGTGAACTTCTGTAACATTTCATTAGTAAATTGCTACAGTCGTCACACCGCATCGTGTATGATGTATACGGTACAACACATGTAAAATATATTGCTTGTTTATGCAAAATTTGAACACACACTGTGTGACGACTTAGCTTCAATCAGAACACGTACATTGTATATTTAATAACAGCAGCAAATAATACTACCGAGGTATTCTTTTGCAAGTATGTCTTCCTATACTGTGGTCCATTCTAGATGTTAACAGTGATGTCTCTTTATTTCTAATTAGGGTCTACGAACTTTAGAATTATGCGTGGATAACTTACAACCAGACTTCCTGTATGAACATATACAACCAGTCAGAGCAGAACTGATGCAGGTCAGTCATGTCAACTTTTCTTGTACTCTTCCTTCGTATGCACGATCTAATTACACAAGATTTATTTGAATCTTGTCTGTCATTGACGTTCCATCGTCTTGTTCTTTTTGCAGGCTTTATGGAGGACTTTACGTAACCCAAATGATAACATTGCACACGTTGCATTTAGAGTGCTTGGAAAATTTGGAGGCAGCAATAGAAAAATGCTGAAAGAACCACAAAAGGTAATACCCCCTTGCTGTAGATGATTTCTGATTTAATTCTGTATAATAAGACAATTATTTAATGTCTGTATCTCACCTAAATACTACTATTGCTGCACAAATGTGGTATGCTTACATTTTCCATCATTGTCTTTTCATAGCTTACATACAAAGTAGAGGAGTCGCTTGGACCTTCTATTGTTGTCTGTTTTCAAGAATGCAAGACTCCGGTTGCATTACCAGTACACAAGGTGGGCATATGCTTTGTATGTTTTAGTGAAATGGATTGTCTTCATATATGGCATGGGGGGGTATTAATTTGATTGTGTCCCTCAATTGATTATTACTCTGTGTGCTACTTTATTAAAACTGATACAAGATTTTTATATTGGGTGGGATCAAAAGAGGCTATGTGATTTATATTAGACTAACACCAAACATTTATATTTGGAGAAAAATGCATTTGTTGCGAAATGTGAACATGTGTTTTCAAGGTTTTATGTAAGTTACCGGTACATATATTGCTCTATCAAAAACTCCAATAAAAAGCACATTTGATTTTGTTTGCAGGTGATTGAGACAGCCTTGAATGCTTTAAAGTCGGCGTCTACTGATGCATTTTATCGGCGCCAAGCATGGGAAGTAGTCAAGGGATTTATTGTGAGTGCAATGAACCTGGATGATGATAAAAATATCATGTACCAAATCCTATCGCATCAAAGGTAAGTAGTGTCCTTTTCTGTGCATTGAGCACATCAATCTACAACAATACTGACAATTCTGAGTCTGGGATATAATTGTTTAATTGCAGTAACTTCTAACCAACACTGCACCATGACATGAGTTGACTTTTTTGGGGGGGTTGCAGTTATAAATTCTTGGATTTCTGTTAAAGTGGGACATTTATGTTCAATGTGGGTTCCATGCAACATACACAATACATGTAAAATACATTGTCTGTTTTCACAAACTTCAAATGTAAGTCATGCTTTGAGGTTTAAGTAATCGAACATGTGATTAATTTGTTTTCACAATTTCTTTCAATTGTAGGTTTTTCAATGGTGACGTTCCAAGGCCATCCCAACCCTTGTATAAATGCCCTGACAATATTGCAAGAAAGACCTGTGAACAAGCCTTAACAGCACTGATTGGTGAGTTGTATATTCTATATAGGTGTAAATATGATGTTTGTACATTACCATCATTCCAGACATGACTATCCATTAAAATGTTGACATATCTTTACATTATAGTTGCTGCTACTATCAAAGACCTGCGTTCAAGTTCCTTGCCATTCATGGCCAATATTGTGAGACACTATACTCTAGTGGCCATCGTACAGCAATGTGGTAGGTGAAATCTTACTCAGGTTGCATTAGGTTGTTCAGTCCTTATTTTGAATATAGATTTGAATGCCTGAATTAGCAACCTATTGTCACTTTTATTGTCTGTGCATGTTGCCAAATATGGTCTGTAGCTATCTAACTTCAACCCCAATATAAAATTTTGTTTTGTAACCCCCTAGGTCCTTTGCCAATATCAAATCGGCAGCATGTACAGCAAGGTATGGACCCCCATGTGTTAGTTGAAGCTATAGCAGCATGCATGGCTCATGAAGAGAAGGAACTTTGTAAGACTGGACAGCTAGCGATGAGTCTTATGATAGAAACAGCAACAGCGATCACTGGCTCCAGAGCTAGGGTACGTATTGGTGTTCTTCACATCAGGTGTTTAAGAATTCCTTCCCATTAACAGCTTAAAACGTTGCTAATCTGTCTTTCTGTACACTCGTCGTCACTCTGTAGGCTTGCCGAATGCCGTTATTCGAGTATGTGGTTGAGAAGATGTGCGCTTGTTGTTACCAGAGGGCATGGTATTCCAAACTTGGTGGCTGCATTGCTATCAAGTTCTTGATGGAGAAAATGTCCATGCGATGGGTTTTACAGCATCAGTTTATGTGCCTCAAGGCGTTGTTATTTGTAATGATGGACTTGCAAGGAGAGGTAAGCTTTTCACATGTTAAGACTGTTAAGATGCACATTTCTTACAATGTTGTATATACTTGCTTTTCAAATCATATTATTGTTATTAAAACAATCTGACAATTTTGTGGGTTTATTGTCTCGCAGGTATCAAGTGGCGCATTAGATATGGCCAAGTCCAATCTGGAGAACTTGTTGACAAAATGTGCTTCGCCATTGAAAGGTGAAGAGTCCCTGGATGCCGACTTAGTGGCCGCGCAGAAGAAATCATTTCACGAAGTAACGCACGAGTTAGTAAGAGAAGTGACATCACCAAATGAGACTGTCCGAGAACAGGTGAGAGTTCGTCATAACCCTAGGTTTCGGGAAATGAGGTCGATATTTTATTCAGAATTTTAGGACTAAAGCGATTACAATTTCTTTGCTGTCAAATTTGATAGTGATCTGTTGTTTTCATCTGTCTTTGTTTTTTACCACACAGGCCATGCATTCTTTGAAGGTTTTAGCCAAAGTCATCAATAAGAGCGTTACTGAAATAATGGAACCGCATAAAGACGTGTTAGTTGACATGATACCACCTAAGAAGCATCTTCTGAGACACCAGCCAGCTAATGCACAGATTGGATTGATGGACGGCAATACATTCTGTACCACTTTGCAACCAAGGCTCTTCACTATAGACCTTAACATTGTAGAACATAAAGTGTTCTACACTGAGGTGAGCACTGTGTTCTCTCTACTATACGGATCTACAATAAACAGAATGATTTATGACTAAAGTAGACTCCCTAAATATTGTTGAATCCTTCATTATAATAACTTCAATTGGTTGCAATGATATTCTGAATGACATAAAAGGAATTTGAACTCCCTAGTAGCTCCAGACTCCCTAGTAGCTCCAGACTCCCTAGTAGCTTGACTTTATTTCATTATTAGCTCTGTTGTCATTGTAGATAACAGAACGGAGATGTTTATATAGGTGATTGCCCATCGTCACTCGCCTGTCAACAATTACATTTCCTTCTTCTTCTTAAAAACTACCAGATTCGGCTGATACACCCCGCCCTGGGCGATCTTATGGAGGATTCGATTTTTTTTATAGAAAAATGTGGACCAAAAGATCGCCCGGGCGATGTTTTGGCAGATATTACGAAGCCCATATTGTCTGGAAAAATGACCCTGCGTTGATAAAAAATAGTCTCAGAAAATGTTTAGAAAAAATAATGTTTTGCGTTGACCAAATATAATCATGCAAAGTATAAATTCAAAGTGTTTTAATACATTGGTGAGAGGTCGTATTTTACGTGAACAAGAACATGCACTAAGAAGGAAAAGCAAGCCAAAGTCGAAACAGGGTGCATCATAGACATAACCCAACACACGTTGCAACAACTGAGTGATCAGCGACATCATTTTGGGACGCAATTGAACTTCAAGAACTTCTTTGCGAAACTTGCTGCGCGGCGATGCTGACATCAAGTGTGTGTTGACCGATGTTTGACCCCAAGTCACGCACTGAACTGGTGCGTTACCTTAACAACCTTTTTCTTTAGTGGTCAGCGCGTTGATCTATTAAAATAGTTATTATATCCGACGGTACTGTAATTACCGGTACGCAACTTGTATGCAACTCTGTACTGGCTTTGAATATATCAACGTCGTTTACTTAGTTCACTGCTTTTCTAATTACGCAAATTTGTTTACAATATTGTACCGGCTCTGAATATTTCAACTTCGTAATGTATTGCTTTCATGATAATTACGCAAAGTTATTTTTTACTATTGTTAGGATGCTGACCCGGGGTCTGTGAATATTTCAATAATACCGACTTGATAATGCGTTGCATTCGTAATAATTACGCAAACATAAACATGGGCGCATTTAAATCATTGAAAAGAATAGTAGTCAGGTGTCTACAGAAAGTCAAGAAAATATTTTAAATACTTGTGATTCATCGATGTTCCAATGGTGAATTATTTTATTCGAAATGAAGTGAACATGTAATATAAACCATACTATACGTCAAGTTAAATTTTACTATAATATAATAAACTCTGGACAGCCCACTTCGATCGCAATATTCACGTACATTTAGTCTGAACACTGCTAACCACGCGTTTGAATTACATGTACGTGCTGCATTGGGCAATGACCTCCAGAGTTCACGCACTGATAATTAAATTCGGGCCATCCAGCTTGACGCAAATCAATATAGTTACTTGTCATTTGTTAAAAAAATCTTTCAATTCTCGTAAATACCATGAACGCAAAGAGTTAACTGAAGGGGAACGTCTTTTTTGGACAAAAAACACGTCAATACAAGATTATGTGTGCAAGGTTAGATTTATAGAACGTACATGACCGCTTAACTCTGTGTTTTTTTAAATAATCATGTCGCATGTGAAACGCAGGCGACATTTTAGTTCGCCCATTTCTTGTTTACCGATCTTGAACTTTTTGTCTGGAATGCGATACAGACAAAGATTAAACATTACTGATAACAACCAAGAGGCTTGGCTATTTTAAACTTCGTAAATAACATTCTTTTCAAGCGTAGACTTTATTCGAGTCTAATAAAAAAGTGAAATGTATTTTAACGAGTAATAATACGCAACAACAATTCGTATACAGCATTTGTTTTATTGGAGTTTTATGCTTTTCGACTTCACAGTGAATCATTTTTAGTGTCATATTTGAAACAGCGCGCTCGATACAAGACAGTACAGGAAAATTGGGTCTGTAAAAATGTTTGTAGGTTCAGTCAGGCAATGTGTGGACAAAAACATCGCCCACTATTTGAAACATCGCCCATGGGCGGGGTTTAGGATGGGCTGGGTATCAGCCGAATCCGGTACCAGCTCAATTGCTTTGATACCTCGTATATGTATGTAGGTACAATGTGTCTTGGGTGAACCCCTTTCTGCTCATTTCATGGCGATATCTTCAATTCTCTTATTTAGTGAATATTTTGGTAATTTTTGGTAAAAATTGTTTGACTTCTTCTTGAAAACTACCAGCTCATTGCTTTGATATTTAGTATGTAGTATGTAGCTTTATGGACCTTTGTCTGTTTTGTTCATTTCCTGATGATATTTTCAATTGTCTATTTTTAACAAATATCTTTGTAATTTAAGAAATGTAATTGTTGACTTCTTCTAGAAAACTGCTACTCCAATTGCTTTGATACTTGATAAATGTGTACCTTGGATGGACCTCTATTAGATTAGTTCTTTCTGGACACTTGGGGAACAGTCAAGGCTCAGCTGAAACAAGCTTTTTTGATCGTCAGTCACTTGTGACTTTAATTGGTCACAACAGACTTCCTAATATGGGTTTTATACTGGGTATATAGAATATTCTCTGACTTGTACTGTTTTCATGTTTTGTCCCTCTAGTTGGTGAATCTCTGTGAAGCTGAGGACTCTCATTTAGTTAAATTGCCATGTTATAAAGCAGTGCCTACACTGGTACCACTCAGGACAAGTGCATTGAGTAAGTATCACATTCTTTACCTAATAAGAATTCCTACATAGAAATTCAGTGACATGATAAATCATATTCAGCTTTTACAGCTGTATTCTTTACCAATGTCTGTTTTAAAAAAAATCACTCAGAAATGTATAATGTACATTCCAGTACAAGATATAAGAAATTGTCTTAGGTGATTGTCTGTGAAAATAAAAACATGAATAGTTTTTAATTTAATTAACACAATTACGTAGTGTTAATTTTTTCTGTACAAGAATTTGTCGCCCAAATTTTTCTGCACTTTTTCGTATATTCTTCAATATTTCTGGATATGAACCCTTATTTTGAAGCCAACATACAAAATTTGAGTCAATTTTCAGTTTTTACACAACAAACTTGGCTATTTTTGTCCTAATCTTCTGAAGGAAAGTGCAGACTATAAACTGGACTATTTTGTGAATTTGTGATGAATGAGGGAACTGGTGGTGAAAGGGTTAAGTGTTGGTCCGTATTGGTATTCCACCAAATAACTCAGTGATTACTAATATCAAAAAGATGTTATTTATTACATGTGTTTATTCTTATCACAGATGCTCTTGCAGCGTGTCACTATATTCCCCTAGTGAGAGACAAGATATTTGCTGTCTTGTATAAGGCATTGAATTCTAGTATTCCTGAATTACAAACTGTTGGTACAGACTGCATGAGAAAGGTATACATTGCAACTCTTTGTACCAAAGAATAATTCTTTTTATTACATAATTTATAGTACTGGTAGATGACATAGTTACACACTTGTCAGGTTCAATGTTAAAGTCTGAGAACATTTTTTATTGGGGTCTTGAGGCAAATGTGTGACATATTTGATAGTCTGGGCAGTTGTTGCAATTGAGAGACCTTGTTTACAAATATCTCACCTTGGGGACTAAACTAGAACTTAGGCTCAAAACCAGCCCTCTGACTAAACTAGCACTAGTTGACACTCGGTTAACCTGTTTACACATCGTTTTCAACAGTTGGTTAATATTAAATTTTCAATGATTCCAATGCGATAACCTTAAAATAATAGTTCCACAAACCCAGTTAAGCTTTATAAATGCTCTCAGAGTGCAACATGTTGTACCGGTAGCTACAATGTAACTATCAAAACAGTTAGTGTACTGTAATTGCATCCTAATTTTTCTTATGAATGTTGTTAATGTTCCATTGTTGCTAATCACTTACAATGAAATGGCTGTTGATTTTCAGTTCATAACTGGTGCTCACATTGACAGTCATACTGAGATGGTGCATTCCAGTATGCGTCCATTGCTGACTATGCTAGGTGACTATAGATGTCTAACACCTAATGTGATACAGAGACTGCACAGTGTGACTCAATTATTCCCTCATGCATTCCATGAAAGACTGTGTGACCAGCTACTGGTAAGTGGGTTGGTGTACTGATGTAATAGTTAGTAAACGCATGTCAGCTGGAAAGGAGTAGTACCCGATTCTGCCGTAAATTCGCCCTGGGCCGTTAAACGTCAGTTTGGGTTTTAATAAAAATAAAATGGGACCAAGAAATCGTGATTTTTCAGCAGTTTTTTTTAAGGTGTTATTTTAATCTTTACTGATGCCTAAAAGTTTCACCGTAGTCATTGACACCTATTCAAGAGTATGATGTTTATTACGACTAGTGTGAATGTGTAAGCTTCTTTTCGACAATGAGCTGTTATCACTGCAAACAATGTTAAATTATTTTTCAAATGCTCAGTTTATCTTTTGAAAACAACTAATTTTTTTATTTAAAAGAAATCATGCTGTTTTCCCATCAAAATCCAAGCCAAAAGATTGTATTACAACATCGGCAAGTCTCTTCCGCGTTGCGTTCAATAACATTAACATATTTAAATGAGCTATGGTAATTCGAACATTTTTGAATCATCCATCATTTTGATTGGTTAATTAGAACACTGTCCCATCTCAAAACATGGCGGATATTCATTTCTACAGCATCAAGCGTTTAAAATGTGACCGGGATCATCGCTTACGGTGAAATAAGTTGAAATTGATTTGCATTTCATAACAATTAAACTTTTTTTTTTTTTTTTTTTTTATTATAATCACTACTACCGTAGGTGATAATCAACAATTGTAAAACGCAGCATGACCGGATTGCGCTACCGCGATCATCATTTGCTACTAAGCAATGCAGTTGTGTTCGTTTTTGTTTGAAATCTTCTTTTACGGAATTTACTTTCGACACTAATAAAATGAAAAGAATAATTGTATTTGGCGCACAAGGTTCGTCAATGTGTTTTTTTTGGAGAAAGATGCGCTGGGTGATTTTGTAATGAAATTTTATGTGGTCTACTTTTTAATCCAGCAAGACAAAAAATGTATGAATTTGCTTCTGCAATAGTTTTTTTTTTCGTTTTGGGTGGTCCAACTGACAGCGTTGAAAGTTGCGTAGGTGGATTTTTCAATGAAAATATAAGTCCCCGAAAATATTTGATGTTCATTTTTTTAGCTCTGCTGTCGACTTTGTCTGGCCACCTACACCTCCAAGTATATACAGTGACCAAATTCACTAGAACCTCTTGGATTGAATTCTTTTGAATGAACCATTCAAGAAGAAAATTCAATATTATATTACGATTTCATTTTCTAACCAGTTCACTAAATTCGCTGCATTGTAAAAAAATTACTTGAAATGCATATACACTTGATATGTGCTTGCCCTTGATATTGATATATGATTGGTAGTGGTGCATTACCATTTGTAGTAAATTCTGGTTAAAAAGGTATGTGATCTAGGGATCTGCCCAGCTCTTTGGGAGTGCTGGTCGCTCATTAATATTCATGAGATTGACAGACCCTGGAAATACCCATAATGTTTTGGGTGTTGAGTACTGCTTTTGTACAGAAGATACAAACTACAGAAGAAATGTATCGTATCATTGTGTTATTTATTTTTCATTACATAGCAAAAACTATGAGGTTTTTAGCTCCGCTGTCAATGTTTTACATTTTTGACTTCTTCTTGAAAACTACAAGCCTGAATGCTTTGATACTTGGTGTATATGTACCTTGGGTAGACCTCTCTCAGATTTGTTCATTTTGTAATGATATCTTTAATTTTCTAATTTTGGTGAATATTTTTGTCATTTTTAGTAAAAAGTGATATTTTCGACTTCTTGTTAAAAACCGCAAGTCCAA